TTTGCTGCTACCCCTTGCTGTCTAACAGCTGATATTTCCTGTTTTTCACCTGGTGAGTACAAGGTTTGTTACCTTTGCAAACACAGTGTGAGTACTTCTACAAACGCAGGTGTGTGTTTGTGTGTGTGAAAAAGAATAATTAGTTATAAGAACAAATTGGAGACTATTAAATACATATGACTCAAATCACTTCAATGCACTTTTTTAAATACCTTTTGTATACAATAATACAAACAAAATGAGAGAACTTCGACAATCATATGACCCCTATGAGCAAGCGCTTTGGTGACTGGGAGGAAAAACTCCCTTTTAAAAGTAAAAGTACACACACACGCACACACACGCACACACACACACACAAAATATATAAAAAATTCACCTATTGCCCCTGCAGGCAGTCTGTCCTTCAAGCTCACATCCTCTTCCAGAGGCCTGGGAGCTTGAAAGTAACGGATTTTTCAGACCATTAGGCGAACTGGATTATAAGATGCATTAAGCACTGAAGTTTGGTCCGTTTTCAGCGTCCTGCCATTTGACTGCATTTGTCCCTAACCCTCACTTTAACTTTTATCAAGTAGACAAAAGTTAGTGTTCATCCTCCAGCTTCACTGTGTTTATGTTATGCTAACATAGCTGTGTCGCTAGCAATCACTTAGCACATCATTATATACCAGCTAGCCCAACTTCAGTAACCCTACGAAAGTTATTGCTGTTTAGTTTTCTGTCTTCATTTATGTTGGAACTGATAGCAAAGCTGTACGTTTTAATTTTTTCAGAAATTTCATGAATTCTGTTTTCATGGATGCCTGGATGTTAAACTTAATTGTTACACCTGGAAAAGCAGCAACGCTGATCATTTTATTAAGAATGAAAGCGTTCAGGCAGTTTTTAGCTCTCAGTGATGCTGCAGTCTTCGTTTGACTTTGGGACCTGAAGCAGACAGAGTTTTGGACCCAGATTACTCCGCGAGGCTCCTGACTACAGTAGCCGTAATGCTCCGACAATCCATAAAGCAGTGCGGCTTTGTAGGTTACCAATGTCGCACGAAGACATTTTTGACTGATTTTTGAGCTGTGTAAAATCAGTTCAAGGTCGGTAAGCACAACCAGAATTCATACATAAGGCACACTGCCGATTTTTGAGAGAAATTAAAAGATTTTAGCGTTAGATTGCGGAAAATACGGTAAAGTTCACTGGATGAAGCTTTTTCAGTGGGAGTAATGTTTGATCACTCATCCAAGTGACTTCTTCAGTCTGGGGTGGGTTTTTGTTTTCTGGTAGTTAGTTTTGGGATTGCTGACACAGACCGAGTTAGTCTGAGTTATATAACGTCAGATGATTTGCTCATGCTGACAAATTCCAGTCAGAAAGTAAAATGAGATCCCACATCAGTTAAGCTTCTACTAAATTTTGCATGCAATGAAAGAAAAATGTTTACTTGTGTTTTCATTGGGAGTAGAATTATAAGTGTGTGTGCTCACTGTTGCATTTCCTTTGAAAAAGCAGGTGTACAGGACTATTGTGCAATGAATGACTCTGAAGGTATTTGTTTTGACTTCTTTGCATTAAATGGACACACTTGAATATGTACTGATTCTTTTCCAAGTGTAATTTCGATTTTTCTACTATTAATTTTAACTTTCAAAATTTTAATAAACAGAGGTTTACATTTTGTTAAGTGTTGAGCATGCTACTACATTCAGTGTGCAATGAGGGGAAAAATGTATTAATTTTGATTAGAATTATAAGTGTGTGTGCTCACTGTTGCATTTCCTTTGAAAAAGCAGGTGTACAGTACGATTATGGAATCGCTCTAGAATTCGAAGAAATGTGCTGTTACAGAGGTATCTGTTTTGACTTCTTTGCTTTAGATAGACACGTTTATCTTTAGTTGGACATCAAAAGTCATCTAGACCTTAATATCTTTAAGTCATTCCTGTAGTTTAATTAGTTTGTGTATTTGTTGTGACTTCTTTGCTTTAAATGGACACACTTGAATATGTACTGATTCTTTTCCAAGTGTAATTTCGATTTTTCTACTATTAATTTTAACTTTCAAAATTTTAATAAAGAAGCATTTACATTTTGTTTTAATTAAATGTTAAGCATGCTACTGCATTTAGTCTGCAATGAAGGAAAATGTTTTAATTTTGATTACAACTTCAAGTGTGTGTGCTCAGTGTTGAATTTCCTTTGAAGGAGCAGTTTGTGAGGTGGATTATGGAAACCCTCCAGAATTACAAGGCATGTGCAGTTACAGAGGTATCTGTTTTGACTTCTTTGTTTTAGATAAACACGTTTATCTTTAGTTGGACATCAAAAGTCATCTAGACCTTAATATCTTTAAGACATTCCTGTAGTTTAATTAGTTTTAATTAGTTTTCTGTCATCTGGTTTCATGGGTATATAAAGTTGAGAGACATCTGCAAAGCAATGCAAAAGAGTTCAGTGTTTTCTAATAATACTGCCTAAGCAGGTGTAACATAAGAAGTATTGGTCCTAGTACAGAACCTGGTGAAATTCATAAAATACCTTTTGTATACAGTAATACAAAAAAGAGAGAAATCCAACAATCATATGACCCCCTATGAGCAAACGCTTTGGTGACTGTGGGAAGGAAAAACCACCTCCTGGCTGCGACAGGTTGGGATGAGGGTAGGAAGACAGGACAAAGACACACTGTGGAAGAGAGCCAGAGAGGAAGAATAATGCAGAGAGGTGTATAAACACATAGGGAGTGAAGAAGAAATACTCAATGCATCATGGGAATCTCCCAGCAGTCTAGACATAATGCAGCATAAATAAGGAAGGAATTAGGGTCACCTGATCCAGCCCTAACTATATGCTTTATCAAGAAGGGACGTTTTTAATAGGGCTGGGTATCGTCACTGATTTCTAGAATCGATTCAATTCCGATTCACAAGGTCCCGAATCGATACGATCCACGATTCGATTCGATTCAATTCGATTCGATTTGAATCTGGGAAATTTTGACAGTCAGAAATATTATAATTCAGATCAGTACATTTACATATTTTTGTATCTATAAAAAGGAAGCTGACACACGCAAGACTTTATCAAAGGTGTGAGCATCACAGCAGAGGCCTTTGTGTCAAAGTAGCTGAAGATAAAACACAGAAAAACATGAAGGCGATTTTCCTGGCCTTGTATTTTACAAAAATATTCTGCAGTACATCAAAAACAAAAGAAAACCATTAATCAACATATAAACGTTACCTCTGAAGTTACAGTGGTTTAATTAGAGACACAGCTAAGCGTTTTGCATTTTGCACAATTTTAGAAAGTTTAAATTTGTTCAGTATTGAACGGCAGAAATTAGGTTTTCTTTTCGGAAGTATGTAAAACGGGGGAAAAAACAGCGACCCAGAGCACTGTAAACAACGGTAGACTTGTGCGTAACAAGCAAGCGAATAATGCAGAAAACAGATTTTTAGATGGGAAACTGTTCTTGAAGAGAGAGAGAGAGAGAGAGAGAGCTGTGCATGAAGTGTGGTGGAAGCAAAACAGCAAAAGTAAGAGTGAATTCATGACGATGTTTTTGTGAAGCGTAGTTTGGATCTTCTTTTGCTGCTGGTTCGGTCAATATTGTTTGGAGAGAGATAAAACTAACAGCTTTAGAATCAGTACAAAAATGGCGTAAACACAAAGCGCAGACCCGCCGACAGATCAGAATCAGTGAGCTGTCGGCGTTCAGCTCCGACCGTGTCCGTGCCGTTGGGTGAGAAAGGCGACATCTCACTGATTCTGGTCCGTCGGCAGGTCCGAGCT